GATGATGATTGAAAAAAATGTGTTCAAAACACACACACAAACACAAAGCAAAACACAAAAACAGAAATAATCAGGTTTCGATGTCAAATTGAATGAAAAAGATATTGGCGAGAAAAAACACCTAAAATACACGTATGCAAAAACAAACACTGAATATTATTATTATTGTTGATATATATAGAGTGTGTATGGCTATTTGATTTTCAAGAGTAAAAACAAAATTGTTTGTTGTTGTTTGAATTTTTCACCTATATAATGATGAGAAAAAGTAAAAAAAAAACTTATTAATAATGATATCCAGGATATAATATGAAATATTTAAAAAACCAAAAACAAAAACAAATGAAAATATGAATCTCATTAACAGAAAGAAGAAGAGCAAGACAGGTGAAAGTTTAGGTGAAAATTTTGGGATTTTTCAGTAGAAAAAAAAAGAATACCTGAAAAGTTTTGTTGTTGTTCGATTGATTGATTGATGTTTGGATTGATGTTGCGTTTTTGCTTTTTTCTTGGGGTGTATATTTGTTGTTTTATCAACAACAAAATTGACAAACAGACGTCGATGGTGTGGTGGTGTATGCACAAAAAAAAATTATCAAATAATGATGATTATGATGTTTGATGTTTGATGAAACGCACTCTCAAGTTGTTTGTTGTCGTTGCTATAGTCGTGATTTTTTTTGTTTTGATTTGGTTTTGGTATCCAAACGAAAAATGGAAAAAATTATCTAATTACGCTGATGATGATGATGATGATGATGACATTTAAAAGCAAAAGAAAACAAAAAAATTAAGGGAAAAATTTTTCAAAAAATGTTATTGATTTTCAGAAAATACTGACCATCAAAATGTTGTTGATAACAGAGAATCATTCTGGTTTTTTGTTTTGTTTTGGCTCAATTATCGTTGTTGTTGTTGTTGTTTTCGCAAAGATCTTCTTTACACATCTGATTTTTTTTTTGTATTCGATTGTTGTTGTTGTTGGAAAGTTTTCTTTTCATCGAAAGGGGGAATATGACAACGAACATGAAATGAATTCAAAGAGAGAAAGAGAGAAATATATTTACCACTACTACCATTTGAATGAATATGAAGGAAATATTTCTAT